TACATTAAATCAAAGACTATGTTTTCAGTATTAAGTAATTACTGATAAAATCTGTAATTAGCATGCGATGAGTCTGATAAAATGATTAGTTAATGAGTCTGATAAAATCGAATGATTAGTCAAAGTTAATGATTAGTTAGTGAGTCTGATAAAATTTTAATGATGTCGATTTTATTTTAAGTACGTTAGCAGTTTTAAAACCTTGCGAGGTGAATTGAATGAAAATATTTACATGTTGTTTAAAACATTTTCTCAAAGTTATAAACGCGTAAGATGATTATACATAAACAAACATACTATGATTCGATTCCCAGGCAAACCCAAGCTGTATTACATGCCAAAGGCAGTCAGTCCTACGCCATATTAGTAACATTCATTAAACATCTAGGGTGTTTCCATTATTTTGATAACCACTTGCATCTGCAACTAAGTTTGTAAATGAAGAATATTTCGTAATGTATATGTTTCTTTACTCCTATAAATGTGTTTCTTTACACCTTGTTCATTGAGATACTCAGTTCAGAGACGACACTGAGCATAGCGTCCCCTGGTGCGTTAATTCAAGGTATCACACCATTGACATAAAGTTTTTGATGTTGTCCTTTACTTTTTGCTCTTCAATTGCAAAAGTTGTAGAAACAAAAAGGAAAAGAAATTATTTTTAAAGTATTTTAAAAGTGAAAGTAAAAAAGAAAGGGCCAACTGTCAAGTTTTCCTGTTAACAAATGTTCGGTGTTTCCAGATTATTGGACTTACATATTACTATTGGACTTATTGTTACCCTTTTTACCCCCTTCTAAGTAGCGCCATTGACTCGGAAGCTGCCGGTTTAAAATAGTGGAGGGCGTGGGATATATACCTGCTTAGCTTTGGTAGACACCAGATGCCCCCGTTCTCCGTCAGACTTAGTGATCCACGAACTAAAATTTCAAAAATAATGAACAAAATTTGACCTCTTCTCAAAAAGGTTCGCCATCTCTGCTGTAGACAGACATAGCCGAACTGAACATAATCTTCATTGCTGGTCTCGAATTAATTATATAAAACATATTTTGCATTACACATGATTATGAACGTAATACGCACACCACAATTTTATATAAAGTATCTCACTTTAAATAACGGCGTAATTAGCAGCACGACAATGCACAGCAAAATGAAACATAGTCGAATTGATAACAGAGTTGCAAGCTAACTTGACAACAGAGCTGCAAGCTAACTGCGCATATAAATCCAGTATGGCAGTCAGTTAAGAGAAAGGTTTTGGTTTGAGTTAGAGAGTTTTCAGTCTTCAGAACTACGTCATCAGCGTTGCTCAAGCCATGCAAGATCGATTGACCTAGGAATGACAACGAGTTTGTGCAATTCTTTCAGTTCTTATTTTGGTTTTGCGTAGCGACCATCTTGATATTGTGTTTTCCTGGCGCCGATCTTGGCGTCAAAAAAGAATCGCGCAAAACACAAGGGACACCCAATTGTAACCTTTTACTATTGATTATTCAATGAAAAATGCCTGATTTCGTCAAGAGTTATTAGTGTTTTTTCATTAGATAATTCAATAATAGAGAATACTGATTAACGTGTCTGTCTTTCTAGACAAGTTGAGAGCATATTCATTATAAAACTTTTATGTCTTAAATTCTCAAATAGTTCCGAAAAACACCACTACGCATCTCCAGTCTTCTTATTTGCTATATATATAAAACGTATAAAGTCTTGTTAAGTAAAGTAAAACAACTTATAAATACATTCATATAATTCTATACCTACCTATGTATGTCATTATGTATGTATAAGCCAAAGTTTTGTTTACAACGGGAAGAAAACCTCCATCATTTATGTCGCCTTTCATGCTAACATGATAATGCTGTGCATGGAAAGGAATATTTCGTTTAAACATAGTGTTTTTTTTTAGAATGAAAACATATCCATTGTTTTCATAATAAAAACCTTGGGTGATAAACGCATCATTTATAATTCTTGAAAGTTTTATAAGCGCAGTGACATAATGGTGATGCTTTTTTTAAAAAGGAAGAAATGTATAATAAATATTAATAGTTTTGAAATAGAAGGTTTTAAGCAACACAGACGCTGTGCACTAAATAATAAGTCATACAATTCGCTACCGGTTTATGATAAAAATGTTTTTGCTTTACCTGAGGTCTTATCACAAGTATAAAATCCAAATCTTGAATTTGGTGCATTTTACAGTTTAAACATTAAAAATGTACTTAAGAGAAAATTACTTATTAAGAATCTATGCTGACGAAACTGATAAAATGCTGAATTTTGAATGTAATATACGATGCTGAAAGTAAAGTTTTCATGAAACATTTTAACATGTGGCATTTTAAATTTCCTGTAAGCATATAAATCTTGGCTGTTGTATTTAATTTCTTGACTTTTGAAGTGTGACCAAAGTGCGTTTGAAGTGCAGTTTGATCTGGGTTAGATTACACGCGAACGAGCTGGCTACATAGGAGCTTGGCCATTCCGTGTTTTCCCCCATGTGTATCGCGGATACGAGCCGGTTTCTTGTAGAACTTCCTCCACAAAGGCATCCCTCTTGTTAAGCAGATAGCCGTAGCTTGTTTTACTACAGTAAAATAGATTAAACGAAACTTCATTATGGGGTGCCGGTACCAAAGGGCAAAACTGCGGTTGGTGCTGTTTTCTAGCTAAGCATGAGTAAAGACAATTTCCATAATTGCTACATTCGACTGGTTTCGCAAACTATTCTAATCTTCATTATATTACTTGGCAATCGATTTTTAAATAAAAGGGAGTAACGAGTTATTAGAAAAATAATTATACATTTGAATTTGAGTTTAAGGATGCTCCGATATCTTAATAATAAGTAGCTGCAAAGAAAAATGGGTTACTCATTATTGAGAAGCTGAAAGTTGTTGCAAGATGTACAGTTTATAAATATTTACATACAAATACATACGTTTTTTCTATGTGCGTGAAAGAAATATTTAACAACCAAAAGAAAAGAACAGGTTGTCATTGCTTAGTTTTTCCCTACTTGAGGAGTTTCTGCCATCTGCATAATTAGGTTGTCAGTAAATTTAATATTTTAGAATTGTTTGAATAAATGCCAGGCGTAAAATTTGATATTTAAATAATAATACGTTTGAATTAAAATCTTAATCAAACAAAATATTTTGCAGATACCAAAGAAAAAATAAATATTTCAGACTAATAAATTTTTTCTTTGAGTCATAATAATTACTGTTTATGCTTATTTAAAATTCAAACCCGTTAACTCCTTTCCGATTATTGCGTAATTTTGTGAAGCAGCTTTTGATGTGTCTTGAATGTGGAAAAATGAAAACCGATACTTACACCTTGAAACATTTCTTTACGTTACATTCATCTAAATACACTCATCATATCTTTCTTCTTCATGAGATTTGTGTATATATTTTACGAACATTAAATTATTCCCATCAACGCTCATTCCTTCTTTTTCATATATTTATGAGTCTAAACTCTATTTACAATTTCTTATTCGATTATTATATCCTTCTTTAGAAGCGAGATAATTATCGTTATCAGATGTTTTTTAAAATTCTGAATCTTTATTATTTAAGTTGTTATCAATAGTTTCCTCATCTTGCAAAATACAACGTGGTGAGAATTTTATTGGCAAAGGGACGATGTGGATTTAAGACGGTATTGATTTCTAATGTTGAGTTAGGCAAAGCTTCTTCTTGTAGCAAAATACATCAAAACAAAACAAAATTTTAAGAAAGTCGAGTTTTCCGAAATGTTGATTTATTCGAGGGTGTAGGTAGAGAGGTTACACTGAAAGTCTAACAGCACGATCATTACAGACATCCATGGTTTAGATTCTCACGATGTTTCGGGATTTAAGCATCGATTAAGGCGTTGCGACTGTTACAACGTTGAGGAGTGGGGCACTTAAAATTCTTCATAATAAAATTGTCTCGATACGTTAGAGGCAGAGAATTAAGAAATGAGATCCCTGGAAACCAGCTGACCATCAAATGGAGAAGAACTAAACACAGTTCAGTAACCGTAATAAAATATGTGATGTAGATGTTACCGTGAAAGACCGAAATTGTAGAATGTCGACTTTCGCCGGAGAATATCAGAATTCACCAAATACGTCGTTGAAAGATAAAATATTGCATTACATTCTTGTAACATTCGGACCCTTATCGGTGTATGGCGACAATCACAGATATGCTCTAGAGTAGGTCGAAAAGAGAGGAGTATATGTACGCGCTTGTCATTGCAAAAGGAAGTGTTCCACAAATAGATGCAGTTGTAAAAGCCTCTTGTGCAATTCAAAGTCTCATAATAGTATGGCTGTTGTTGATGGATGCCATTTTTGATTGCACGTTGAATGTTAACAAAACCTGACTCGGTAATATTAACATTTCTATTTAATTCTAGGATGATATATATTTTAACATATATTCACTTATACACAATCACATTGCATGTAGTTACAAGATGAGCATTTTTCAGTTCGCAAGTCCGCATGAGTAAAAATCAAGAAAGTCATATTACAGCTACGACAACATCACGGAGGGAAAGAGAGGTGAGTGCGTGCTTCACCGACGGTAGCCAGGAACCGAGTAACCAGTTCGAAATTTCCTCCAGAGAGGAAGAGGGAGAAAGCTGGTAGCGCCCTCTCTCGGGGCAGCGGACAAATAATAATAATAAAGAGTTCTCCACAGTATTCCCCCCCCCGAGTACCAAAGGTACGATGAAAAAATTCAGTTCACAAATATCTGGTGTTGAAGCGCACACGTCTTCCCGATCGTGTGACGACTGGTGGAGCACTGGGAGGAAGCGTAAGGTCGGTCGAAGAAGGAGTATCAGGAGTAGCAGTTGGATCCGGGGCGTCAGGAGGATCGCTGGTCACAGAAACCTGAGTGTTTGAAGCTTCGAAGAAAGCAGGCTTCAGACGATCTATGCTCAGGACGGTTTCCTTGTCCCGCACGAGAACGGTGAAATGCTTATTGTTACGTGCACCGACCTTGAAGGGTCCATCGTATGGAGAAGTGAGTGGTGGTTTGACCGCGTTGTTTCGCACAAACACGTGAGTGCAAGTGCTCAGCGCGTTGCACGAAAGGGGCAGATTTGTTGTGGCACGAAGTGGGAATCGGAGACAGCTTCTTCATCGTCTCTCGGAAAGTCTGGACAAAGGATGCTGAATCGACTGGAGCAGAGGATGGCTGAAAGAACTCTGATGGTAATCGAAGGTGTGTGCCGTAGACAAGTTCAGCGGATGTGCCTGCGAGGTCTTGCTTGAAAGAAAAACGCAAACCAAGAAGCACAAGAGGAAGTGAAGTAGTCCAACGGGTGCCATTACGGCACTTCAGGGCTGCTTTCAGGTCGCGATGTAAGCGTTCCTTTAATCCGTTGGCGGAAGAATGGTATGGTGAAGTGCGAATTCGGCGTATTCCAAGCATAGAAGTCAGAGAAGCGAAAAAGTGTGACTGGAATTGTTGACCTTGATCAGTAGTCACAACTGATGGTACACCAAATCGTGCAATCCAACCGGTGATGAATTGTCGAGCCACAGAGTCAGCAGAGATGTCCTGAATGGGAAAAGCTTCAAGCCAACGAGTAAATCTGTCAATGCAGGTGAGTAGATATCGATAACCGTCAGATGGTGGCAGAGGACCGACGATGTCTATATGGAACATGGTCGAATCGTTCGGATGGGCATCGGCAATTTTTTCCAAAGGGCTATGTGTGTGTGTGTGCCGGGTAACTTTTGAACGTTGGCACATGATGCAGGAACGAGTCCAGTTGGCAATGTCCTTTAGCATGGATGGCCAAACGAATCTTTCTTGTATGAGCTTTTTGGAAGCCCGGATACCTGGGTGCGATAGGTTGTGAAACAGTCAAAAACTTTTTTCCTGAACTCAAGTGGTACATAAGGTCGCAAGTCTGTTGTTGGAGGTATCGCACAATAGTTGGAGGTCCCGAGTAAGTTGTAATGACTGGAATTTCAGCGAGCAGTTTGGGTCTTCACTCAGACGTTTTAGCTCTCCTCATCAGTGGCTTGCGAGTGAGCAATAAGCGTGAAATCCAGTGGTGCATTGGCATCGATGTCCCTGAATACGTGAGAGAGTATCCGCGACGACATTGCTGGAACCTGATATATGCTGAATATCAGTGCTGGAACCTGATATATGCTGAATATCAGTCTCGGGGAAGCAGAATTTGATTTTGATGTGAATGCATAAGTTAGAGGTCGGTGATCAGTAAATATAGTGAAGTGTTGACCTTCAAGATTATGCCTGAAATACTTAATAGCTGCGTAAATAGCTAATAATTCTCTATCATACGTGCTGTATTTTTGTTCTGTAGGGGACAGCTTACGTGAGAAAAATCCTAGCGGCTGGTAGTCATTAGAATGTCGAACGTTTAAGACAGCTCCGATGGAAATGTCAGAAGCGTCGACCATAACACTCAGTTTTTGGTTAGGAGAGTCATAGGAGAGAGTTGCAGCATTACTAAGGTCGTGTTTTCACATTTTTCAAATGCCTGATTAAGTTCGTCGTTCCAAGGAACAGGGCGTTTATATCATTTTTACGTGAGTCTTTTAAGAGTTCATTCAGTGAAGCTTGGGTCTCGGCTGCCTTTGGTAAGAAGCGGCGATAAAAGTTTATCATGGCTAAAAAACGTCTGAGCTCGACAATAGTGGTAGGTTTTGGGAAGTCGGCAATTGCTTTTGTTTTCTCAGGCAGGGGTTTTACACCTGAGGCAGTAATGAGGCAACCTAAAAATGAAACAGATGGTTTTCCGAGTACACATTTGTTAGGGTTTAATGTCAAACCATGTTTATTCAAACGATCAAACACTTGACGAAGATGACGGATGTGCTCTTCTTCGCTAGTCGATGCAATAAGGAATGTCGTCAAAATAAGGGATGCAAAAATCCAATCCAAATAAAACTTCATGTATAAAACGTTGGAAAGTTTAGCCTGAATTTCGTAAACCAAACGGCATAGCCAAAAATTCAGAAAGACCAAAAGGGGTTGTGACGGCAGTTTTCGGAATGTCTGCAGGGTTAACAGGAATTTGATGATAGGCACGTGCTAAATCAAGTGTTGAGAATATGTTCTTTCCTGAAAACATTTGAGTGCAATCCTGAATACGGGGTACGGGATAGCGATCCGGAATTGTAACGGCATTTAAGCGACGATAATCCCCGCACGGTCCCCAGTCGCCATTAGCCTTACGAACCATGTGCAGGGGGCTTTGCCCAAGGACTTTTTGAAGGCTGAATGATGCCTTTTGATAGGAGAAAATCAAACTCTTGATGTGCAGCTTGAAGTAATTCTGGAGATAATCTTCTAAGTTTGGAGAAAATAGGAGGTCTTTTAGTTTCAATGTGATGGAAAATCGTTGACATTGGTGGCCTCTCAAAAGTTTGCGAAGGATTCGTCAAGCTAGGGTAATCGGCAAGAATTTTGTCAAATTTTGAGTTACCCATCAAAATATGAATGCTAGTACTGAGCGGGTTCACATTAGGAAGTCTACCGCAAGAATATAGTTTTGTTTGTCCATCAATTAAACGGTTGTTTTTAACGTCTATGAGTAAGTTGAACTTTGTGAGAAAGTCAACACCTATGATGGGTTGATTGACGTCTGCCAGGATAAAAGGCCAAGTAAATGAGCGACGTAAGTTTAAATTGAATGGTCAAAAGTTTGGTGCCATACGTTGCAATTTTAGTGCCGTTAGCGGCAAAGAGTTCCAATGCAGCTGGTATTTTGGCATGCTGACTGTAACTCTTGGGAATGACAGATAAATCGGCTCCGGTGTCAATTAAAAAAAGTCAGCTTTGAGGATGAATCGGCCAAAAGAATTCGATTGATGTGGCGGTCGCAACGTTGGCCGGCAAGCGATCGCCGATCTAGTTTTTCCGACTGCCGGAAATTGCACGGAGAAACACACTTTTCGTGCCTTGGAACCAAAATTAGTATGGTAGAAACAGATGTTGTTGCACGGTTCTTTATACTGTCGATAGCGTCCACTAGATCTATTACGCCTACTGTTGCGTTGGGAATGATTGTCTCTTCGTTCACAGGAACGCTCACGGCTGTTTTTGAGGGCTAGCGAAAGTTCATTTACCTGCTTTGTCAGCTCTGCAACTTGCTGTTCAATGGGAGAGGTAGATGCCGTAGCAGCACTATTTATGTGCGGGAGAGTTGTGAGATCTGTAATTTTATCAGCTACAACTGCTAGTTTTGGAAGATCATCACTTAAGGCAGCAAGAATACTTTGTGTATTTTGCGGAAGACGAGATATCCATAGGGATTTCAACAAAGGTTCTCCAACGGTCTCTCCAGCGAGGTTTCGCATACGGCAAAGTAATTGTGATGGGCGTTGATCGCCAAGTTCTAGCCCTTGAAGAAGTGTACGTATCTTTGACTCCTCACTTTTAGAATGCAGTTCAATTAAGCGTGTTTTTAGTGTGTCATATTTGCCAGTCACAGGTGGGTGTAAAACGATATCACAAGCGCTATTGAGAATATCAGATTCGATTGCAGATATCACATGATTGAATTTCGTGGAGTCAACAGTGATTCCGGCTATATCAAACTGGGCCTCTAGTTGTGCAAACCACAAAGTAGGGTTGACCTTCCAAAATGGGGGAGGTTTGACGGAAGCACGTGAAATATTAAAATCGTCTGCGATGGGCTGTGGTGGAGCCAAGATTCACAAAAACAAATATATATTGCCAATATGACACAAATAAATACACAATAATCAGTCACTAATAAGTTCACATACGACACTAGTGCAAAATAAATAAAGTTAATGTAAACATTAACGTGAGAGAAACACTTTTGCAGGTAAGCTATCCGAATATAAGCATAAGTAATACTAAGAATTTGCGTGGCTTACCTCCGAATTATACGAGAAATATTTGCTTAGTCAGCAGCAGATTCAGCACAACACAATTCACTTATAAACAAATATTCCGAAAAAACTTATTTTATGATATGTAACCACGTTGTACGATTTATATGGAGATCACTTCAAAGCACTTTGACGATTTGCATGAGACACATGATAATTCACAAGCACGTTGTTAAGCAGGCACAACTGTTTTTTACACTATATTGCTGACGACACGAAAATAATGATGGATTACGCTAGTAGTTTGCATGAACAGAAATAATTTTCACTCCATAGCACATTATAATCACAGAACTTGAGGATGCAAGCAGGTTACAGGAGGCACGTGTTCACTAACCTGACGAGTCACCATTTATGGCTGTTGTTGATGAATGCCATTTTTGATTGCACGTCGAATGTTAACAAAATCTGACTCGGTAATATTAACATTTATATTTAATTCTAGGATGATATATATTTTAACATATATTCACTTATACACAATCACATTGCATGTAGTTACAAGATGAGCATTTTTCAGTTCGCTAGTCCGCATGAGTAAAAATCAAGAAAGTCATATTACAGCTACGACAACATCACGGAGGGAAAGAGAGGTGAGTGCGTGCTTCACCGACGGCAGCCAGGAACCGAGTAACCAGTTCGAATTTTCCTCCAGAGAGGAAGAGGGAGAAAGATGGTAGCGCCCTCTCTCGGGGCAGCGGACAAATAATAATAATAAAGAGTTCTCGACAATAGTTTAAGTTGTTGCAATAAATAAGATTTGAACCACATAATTTAGTAAGTTTTTAACTTCTATTATTTTCCTTTGTCCTTTTGAATGTACTGTGTGTTTTAAGTTCTTATGTTCTTAAGTTCTTATTTTAAGTCTCAAGTGCGTTTTTTCGCGACTGAATTACGGAGAAGAAAATATTACATCTTATATGTTCAACATTCACTATTAGTATACGGTGAATGCCGACTTTTACCGGTGTAAGTCAGAAATAAGAGTATTTGGTAAATACTTCGCGTACACTAAGCGACTATGTGAATGATGACATTCACCGGTGAAAGTGGACATTCTCCAGATTTCGATTCTCCAGATTCTCCAGATTTCATCGTAGCGTAGACACCACGTGAATTCTTTATACGGCCTATTAAATTGTACATATTTTTGCTGCATTTCATTTAAATTTATTTCCTCCAATTTCATTAGAGATATATTTCTCCAACGTTAATTAATTTGGCTCTCATTTCATGACAAAGCGAAAATTCATAACATTTCCAGACATCCATACTGGATATTATAAAGTGCAGAAAAAACATAAAACACCAAATACAGTTAAAACAGTTTAAAAAAACAAATTTTACAATTAAAATTAGAGTTTCTATTCAAAAACAAGAAATTGGGCCAGGGGGCAAGATGACAGATTTTTCGCGGCACAAAACTGAAAGTTAACCTTCGCATCGGTCCCACTGACCAAAAAGACACTGAAGTTGGTGCACCAACTGACTTAATGCTTTATTCTACTAAGAAGTTAATGTGTAAACAAATCATGGACTCGACAGACTTAGCGCTATTTAAACTTTTGAATTGTTGATAATTTTACAACACCTGCATGCAGATTCATTAAAGACATAAAATTTAACTTCAGGCTATGTACAACGTGATTCAATCACTTTTCAAGCAAACAACTGACAAATTACCAGCATATAAGAGTAAAAAACCTGAGCTTACCGAGTGAAAAAAGCTGATCTGTCTCTCTCTTACTCTCTCTCTCTCTATATATATAT